ACATCTACATCTACACCTACATCTACACCTACACCTACATCTACATCTACATATACACTTTCGCATTGGTTTTGTTCTCTTGCTTTGCATTGCCTTCCCTTTGCGTTTGCTTGTGTTGTTGTTTTTGTTTTGAATTTGTTTTTGATGTTGCTTAATGTTGTGTTTGCTTTGCATGCGCGCAGACACACGCACACGCACACGCACACACACACACACACACACACACACACACACACACACGCATGTTTCCGCATTCGCTCACCGGGTGTGTTTGAGAATGCTCCGTATCCGGTCTACTACCGCACGACTAGGCCATCTCGGGCGCCTCTCGGGCCGTCTTGGGACATTTTTGGAGCGTTTTTGGGGGCCTCTTGGGAGCCTCTTGGGCCGTCTTGCGGCGGTCTCGGGGGCGTCTTGGACCGTCGTCAACGTGGTGAAAACCGAAAAGCCATGCATGGCGAAAATGTATGTTTCCTATACGGAATCAGCGATTTTGGTATCCTGGTGGCCTCCTGGGACGCCTCTTGGGAGCCTCTTGGGGCTTCTTGGGGAGCTCTTGGGGCCTCCTGGGAGCGTGCGGTTTCTGCCCGCACCTCCCGTTGCGCAACCGCTCGTACTCCTGGGCCGTTTCCGTGTTCATCCACGACCTTTTATCGTTGATCCACTCCTTGTGGATCTCTTTCACGTGGCGAGGCGCGAAGATCGCGTCAGAGCCCAGGCCAGGCACGCGGCGCATGTGATTCGCACGCTGCTCCTCGACGACCCGCCAGAACTCCTCGAGCTTTTCGGTGATGTGCGGAGCAGCGGCCGCGTCGAAGCGGCCGTCCGACAAGGCTGCGATGTTCGCCACTTTGCCGAACAGGAAGTCTCTGCCGATCTCCTCGAGCACCTCCTGCAACGCTGCTTCGGCGGAGGCATGGCTGCCGAAGATGGCGTTGACACGGGGCGTGGCGGGCCTGCGTACCACGTTGGAAGGGGGTGGCAGGCTGTGCAGCGCTGCGCGGCGGGCTGCGCGTCGCTTCCCACGTCAGCGGAGGGTGCGCTGCGGTGATTCGCAGAACCGGCGAAGGCTCAGCCGCGCTCTCGAGGTCTCGAGGCACAAACACCCTGGCCACAACGAGGTCATGAGCATCACTCACTCCGTCGAAGAACGCACCAATCTCGGAGTTCGTTTGAACGCTGCGCAGGCCGTGGGCCATCGCGAGGTCGCCGTGTTTGAACCTCAACGGGTGAGAGAAGACCAGCTGCATTGATCAAGGCTGTGCAGCACTGGAGTCAGACGATACTTGGCAGGCCGCGCAGCTGTCATCAATACTCTGCACCAGGGCGGTGATCTGAATGACCCCCGCGGTGAAGTCGCCGCCTCAGATGAAGCGATCCCCCGCACGCGCACTGTGGCAAGCAAGGAAGGCGCGCTTGCGCCCTTCCATTGTCAACCCTCGTTTTTTCGGGGCGGGCGCATGGCAATTGACGATGGACACGGGCTCGTTGTCGTCGTCAACGCGAACGCGGAGGTGCTGAAAGCACCGGTCCGGCTGGTTCGGCACGAAGTCGCTGACGAGCTTGCACTGAAGGACCGCCGCTCGATTGGACTTCACGATCGTCGCGTAGTGTCCGTCAACGTACACACGGACAGGCGGCACCGCACTGTCAGCAATCAGTTTTTGAATCCAGGCATAGACGTCGCCTCCTGGGATGTTCTCGCCGGTGCCCCTTCGGATCTCGCCGAGCTCGCTCAGGCAAAGTATGTCCAGCGCATGAACTTGGAACGCCCTGGCAAGGTCCGATGCAAAACGGCGCTTTTTGTTCTTCTAATTTCTCCCACCAACCTCCGACATCTGGATTCCCACGTTGTAGAAACCCACTGTCAACTCGGTCGCGTTGGCACGCAGTGCAGAGAAAGTGGGCTGTGCAGCACCACTTGATGACGAGGTGGGCTGTGCAGCACCACCTGGTGCCGAGGCGGGATGTGCAGCACCGCTGTCGGGGCCTCCACCTGGTGCCGAGGCGGGCTGTGCAGCACCGCTGTCGGGGCCTCTCCCGGATGGGGACACCGACGCTGTGCTGGCTGCCGTGGCTTGCGCCGGAGCAACAAAGGTTGCGGCGGGCTGTGCAGCACCACCTGGTACCGAGTCGGGCTGCGCGGCATCGCTGTCGGTGTCGGATGGCGACAGACACACCCTGTGGCCTGGCATGGTTGCAGCCCGGAGCCACAAAGGCTGCGGAACGGTGATAACGAGATGCACACAGCCGGGAGTCTGGACCCGGCCCTTGCCCCGGCTGAGGGGGCTCGCCCTTCAGAATGGCACTCTCGCCAGGGCTTCCCTGGAGGGCCTCTTGAGATATCCCGAGAGGGGGCGCCGTGTGAGGCGGGGCCCGGGGCCTCCTGGAGGCTGGGGGAGCTACCAGAGCAGGCGCGGACGATGGAGAGAGGGCGGCTCCAATGAGAAGCCCCCCCTCTCGATGAGGGTCCTGAATGCAGGGGTGACATACATATCTCGCTGTACCGAAACAGAGACCGACAACACTAATCAAACCCTGGTCTCCTGGGCACCCCCATGACCAGAATCTCGAGGCGGCTGCAGCGCTGGCTACGAGAAGGGTGCCCAGAGGGGCCGAAGAAGGTGGTGCATAAACATCATCATGTATGTACGTACGTGTGCATGTATGTATGTATGTATGTGCGGACGCAATACGGCGGTTCGTGGACGCGTGGACGGAGGAGAAGTCGTCGACTGACCACGACAAGAGGAACGCGACGGAAAGGGAGGACATCGGCGGCGACGAGGACGAGGGGCCGCACAAGCGCCGGCGCCGTGAGTGAGCGAGCGGCTAGCGCCTCGCAGCTCGCGGGTCGCGCCTCGCAGCTCGCGGCTCGCAGCCTCCAAAACCGCCCCAGACGAACCGAAAAATCTAGCTTTTCGCCCCAAGACGCTCCCAGGAGGCCCAAGAGCTCCCCAAAAAGCACCAAGAGGCTCCCAAGAGGCGTCCCAAGAGGCCACCAGGAGACCAAAACCATTGATTCCCTATAGGAAACCTACATTTTCGCCATACACGGCTTTTCGGTTTTCACAACGTTGACGACGGTCCAAGACGCCCCCAAGACCGCCTCAAGACGGCCCAAGAGGCTCCCAAGAGGCCCCCAAAACCGTCCTCAGACGGCCCAAGAGGCGCCAAAGATGGCCAAGTCGCGCGGTAGTAGACCGGATACGGGGCATTCTCAAGCACACCCGGTGAGCGAATGCGAAAACATGCGTGTGTGTGTGTGTGTGTGTGCGCAGGAAAAACAAAACCACATCAAGCAAAAGCAAAAACAAAATCAAAGCAAAAGCCACAGCAAAAGCAACAGCAAAAGCAAAGGCAAGGCAATGCAAAGCAAAAACAAACTCAATGCGAAAGTGTAGTTGTAGATGTAGGTGTAGATGTATGTGTAGCTGTAGGTGTAGATGTAGGTGTAGATGTAGGTGTAGATGTAGGTGTAGATGTGAGTATTGCTGTTGATGTTGATGTAGATGTAGATGCAGGTGTAGTTGTTCATGTAGCTGTCGGTGTAGATGTAGATGTTGCTTTCCTAGATGCTCCAACACGCCGGGTGGGCTGTGCAGCACCACCTGGTGCCGAGGCGGGCTGTGCAGCACCGCTGCACGCCTCACTCCGCCAACCTCGGGGCATTAGCGTGGGCGGCTGTGTGCCAGGGCCTCCGGACTTGATCAGAAATGTTTACGGAAGGCACTGCTTGCGGGGGCTCCGGTCTGGCCATCGAGGCTAGCTCGGCATCTGTCGCACATTGCTTTTGCTTTGCCTTTCCTTTGCTTTGCTTTTGCTTTTGCTTTGCTTTGCGTTGCTTGTGCTTTGCTTTGCTGTCGCTGCTGTTGCTTTGCCTTTGATTTGCTGCTATGCTATGCTATGCTCTGCTTTGCTATGCTATGATCTGCTGCGCTGTGCTATGCTGTGCTGTGCTGTGCTGCGCTATGCTATGCTATGCTATGCTATGCTACGCTGCGCTATGCTATGCTATGCTGTGCTATGCTATGATATGCTGTGCTGCGCTATGCTATGCTACGCTATGCTATGCTACGCTGTGCTCTGCTATGCTAAAACTCAGCGAAGCTAAGATGAAGGTAAGTTAAGCTAAGACAAACCTGAGCTAAGATGAAGCTAAGCTAAGCTAAGCTAAGATGAAATAAGCTAAGCTAAGATGATATAAGCAACGCTAAGTTAAGGGGACGTAACTGGGGGAACCGCGGGGCGGATCCTGGGGGAACCGCCCAGGGCGATTTCCACTGCCCGGCCCCTTTAAGCTCAGAGAGTAAGAACCCTTCTAGGCAGAGCCTAGGTAGGGAAAAACGCCCCGAAGCCAGAGCCTCGAACTCCTCCTCCTTCCGGCTGGCCGGGGCCAATGCTGGCCGGGACCAAACATGCTGGACGACTGCAATGGGAACGGAAGACATGGGTACGAAGCCGGACAACAAGTGTTGCTCAAAACAGGGGCAACGGCCGCTGTGTTGGGCAAACGTCCTCCGCGACACCGACGGCAAGCTGGGCTCAAAATGATCAGGGAATGAGTCGGCCTTTGCACCCACCACTCTTGCCGCACCCATGTCTGTCGAACCCACCCGGAAGGCAGCTTCTTGGCTCGGCGGCGCCGGCGGACGCGTGCGCGGGGATCGGTGCCGGCAGGACGCGCTGGGCGCGGGGCGCAGGGGCAGCCGGGAAAGAGGAGGGCGGCCGCGGGGACGGAAACCAGGCTGAAGTCGGGCCTGTCCCCCTACAGGGGGATTCTGGGCGAAAAATTAAAAATATTCAAGAAATGCCCCCAAAATGCTCAAACATAGTTTAAAAAAAATCCCCTCTATCATTTTTTGACTATTTTTGAATTTTCCTCGTGTACAGGGACAGGCCCGACTTACAACCAGGCGGGCGGCCCCCGAGTGGCAACGCATGCCCTGGCCCTGCCTCGCTGCAGCGCGGCTGCCTCGCGACCCCGGGGGGCGGCCGGCGCGCGGGAGCGCGGCTGCCGAGCCCGCGGCTCGAGGGCCGCAGCCGGCGCCGAGGCCGCTCCCTCCGGGCTGGCCGCGCCACCGCCCTGGGACGGCAGCTGTCGCAGCGTGGCAGGCCAGCGAGCCGGGGCAGAGGGTCATATCCTCTCCTCCTGCTCCTGCTCCTGCTCCTGCTCCTGCTCCTGCTCCTCCTCCTCCTCCTCCTCCTCCTCCTCCTCCTCCTCCTCCTCCTCCTCCTCCTCCTCAGCATCAGCATCAGCATCAGCATCAGCATCAGCATCAGCATCAGCATCAGCATCAGCATCAGCATCAGCATCAGCATCATCATCATCCTCATCATCATCATCATCATCATCATCATCATCATCATCATCATCATCATCAGCATCATCACCATCATCATCATCATCATCATCATCATCCATCATCATCATCATCATCATCATCATCATCATCACCATCACCATCATCATCATCAGCATCATCATCACATCATCATCATCATCATCATCATCATCGTCATCGTCATCGTCATCGTCATCGTCATCGCATCGTCAATCGTCATCGGTCATCCTTCCTTTCCTTCCCCCCCTCCTTCCTCCTCCTCCTCCTCCTCCTCCTCCTCCTCTCCTCCTCCCTCCCTCCCTCCCTCCCTCCCTCCCTCCCTCCCTCCCTCCTCCTCCTCCTCCTCCTCCTCCTCCTCCCCCTCCTCCTTCTCCTTCTCCCTTTCCTCCTCGATCCGAGGCTCCGACAAGCATTGGGGCGGCCACTGTTGGGCCAGTCTCAGCCTCCGGGGGCCCTGCACGGCCCCGGCGCAGCACCCGCCCTAAATAGGACAGGGAAGGGGTCCAGACCTCTGGGGGCCCACGCATCGGAAAGATGGGAGCGCCAGACGTCTGGGGAAGGAGGCGAGTGGTCGCCAGGAAGCTGAAGGCAGACGTGGCTGGATCCACACGTGGAGCCTCCGGAGGCCACTCGGAGGGTGCACACGGTGGAGGGCCGCCGCGTCTGGCCACACGACGGGCCAAGCGCCGGAAGGACACGTGGCCACGTGTGCATCCAGCTCTCGCCCGGGCCGGCCACGTCACGCGTATCCAGCGTTAGGTCGGGCATGTCCTCCTACAGGCGGGTTTGGGATGAAAAAGCAAGAAGTCTAAAACTATTCCGAACTAGTTCGTTTAAAGATCATCCGCAAGTCGTCCCCAGACTATTTTTTGACTGTTTCTGAACATTCCTCATGTAGAGGGACACGCTCGACTCAAATCCAGCGTCCTGTCCGCTGTGCACGCCGTGCTCGTGCACACACGTTCAAGAGCTTCATGATCTGAGCGTGCTCCTCTCCCTTTCCGCGCACTCCGTCTCCTCCTTCGCCTGTGGTTCCCCGTTTGGCCCCGCTGCGTCCCTCGGCTGCCTTCAGACGCGGCGTGGATCCTCGTTACAAAAACCATGTCGATGGAGAGGCTACCAAACCATAATCATTTTCTTTTCGGCCGGACGAAAAGAAAATAATCAAACATAGATAAGCTCTCCATCAGTTGGTTTTTATAAGATTCTCGCCGCTGCGACAAAAAAAGCATTCCGCTGCCCGGTGCAGTCGTGGCCCTCTGCCTGAAGTGCGGAAGACCGAACCGAGAACGAGCGGGCTTCTCCCGGCCACGGGGCGCCTCCTCCACGAAGAGGTCCACCGACCTCAGGTCTGGGAGGCGGCCCGGGAACCGGGGCCCCTCCTAGGCCTGGAGTGGTTCCTGGTTCCGCGTCCTGACTGCAGGGGTGGCGGCGCGCACAAGTGGGCAGGACAGCACGGGGCAGAAGCGACAACGTCCTGCAGCGCCCCCCATGCACGTTTCTGCCCTGCGAAGGGTAGCCAATCGCGCTTTCTACCTACGCGTCCTGCCAGATGCTTGGCTTCCTGCTGCTGCTGCTGCTGCTGCTGCTCCTCCTCCTCCTCCTCCTCCTCCTCCTCCTTAGAAGACCCCCCACCTCTCAGAGGAGCGGGGCCGGTTGGCTTCAAGGGGGCCTGTCCCCCAAAGAAGCCCCCTGCGTTCTCGGAATGCCGTCCCTCGCCGTGCCATCCTCTGCGCGCTGCCAAAGACGTGGCACCCTTCGAGGCCTCGAGCATCAAACCTGGCGACCCTCCGGGAGGGGCAGCCGAACGGCAGTGACCAAACGCCCGAACCGGGTCACGCCCGCTGGAAGGCTCCCTGCAGGGCCGGAGGGGGGCCAGTGCGAATGCGAGCGGCAGCGCAGTCCTGGGTGAGGAATACAGTCCGAGAAGCTCCCCGCTTGGAACAGCGAAGGTCCCAGCAGCAATCTGCTCTGCGTGACCCAGCGTGCCAGCTCGTCAAAAGAACCTCCTCTCTCCTCTGTTGGAAAGATGTGCAACCCTGCTGCCCCCTAGAACTCTGGACCCCGATCGCGACGTGTTGGAGCGTCCGAGATGGTTCCGAGATGGCTCCAGGGTGGCCCTCGATAACCCATGCCTCCGAGATAGGCTCCCAATATTGCCCAAGTTGCTCGCCAGCATGGATTCTGAAGGCCCCGGGACGGCCCCCGCATGGCTCCGAGGTGCCCAAGGAGACTTCCAAGGACGCCATCTTTCGAAAACGAGCCGTTTTACATTGAAAGTGGCCTTTTCGCCTTTTCGGCTTGTGATGGGCCCGGGGACCTTTCAAACTGATGGCCCCTAAATGGTCCAGGAGGGCCTTCAGGTGAGCCAAGTCGGGCTGTAAGAGAGCCCCAAGGGCTCTTAAAACAATTATGTGGCATCCCCTTTTGACCGCTGGGCTCCATGACGGTCCCAAGATGGCCCCGCAGGCCCCGCACAGGGCCCCGAGAGTGCCCCGATATGGCTCAAGGGGAGCACAAGCTAGAAAGTGATGAAAGCTGGGCTAACCTGAAGAAAGCGACACGAACATCAGATACGATAGACTGATGTCATTCGACCAGCTCGACTCAGCGAAGTCATAGCTTGGAAAGGATGGGCTGCGCAAAGCTCAGGTTCACAAAGCCAAGGTCTGCGTGCCTACGCTATCTCGACGATGTGTTTGGGCTGAAACCTGCTGTAATTTGATTGCCGCTCCCCTCTTTGCTTCACGAATGGTCCACTCCCCTTGTTGTGACAACTCGCTTGATTGAACATCGTTCCTGGAAGGGCGCGAGGGGGTCACGCGAGGTGGGTAGATTCCCAAGCTGCGAGACAAGACAACAATGAGCAGCCTCCGCGAACCATCGATTGCTTTTGTAGATTAAAAAGTCGGCAAACTGCCAGCTAACGATTGCCAACTGCGCAACAAAGAAGTGAAAAGGCGCGCAGTGGACATACACGTAAAACGACACACTCGCGCGTGAGTTGCTGGAGGCGAGATGGACGAGACATCAGCCGAATGATATCTCGTGCACAGGCAGGCAAAACCCCCTTAGACAAAACAAGGACCTGTCTTGGGGTGCACTCTGGTCAAGGGGCCCTGGGATACACAAATAAATACACACAAATCAAAAGATTCCCCATATTTTTCCCATAGTCTCTGGGTTTTTGTCTTCCCCCCCGCTTCCTATATTTTCCTCTATTTTCGGGGGAATCGACGATTAATTGTGTCTGTGTGTTTCTGTCCCCTCCTGATCTGACCAGAACTGAGGAGGAGGGAGATGGGGAACGCACGTGGCTGGATCAACGTGCGGAACGCGCGGGGGCCGCGCGCCAGAGGCGGCACGTGCAGAGGGCCGGCGCGCGCGCCCATGGCAGGGCCGAGCGTTGGAACGACGTGCCGCCGCATGGCGGGTTCCGGAGACCATGAGCCCACAGAGGCCGCCGCCTCTTGCGGTGCAGCGCTGTTCTTCCGCCGGCTTCCGCCGGCGGAGGCGGTCTCGCTTGCCTTCCGCCGGCCTTCCGCCGAAGAAAGCACGACAGCTTCTTAGGCCCTCGAGTGCGAGCCCCTTTTTGGGGACTCCCTGAGGCCGCCCGCGCCGTGTGCCACAGCTCAGCGCGCCAGGGGCGGCGCCCGAGGCCCTTGGACCCTGCGCCGATCCAAGAAATCCGCGCGGACATCCGGGTTTTTGTGTTTACAGTGCGGGCGCGGCCGCAAGAAACCCTCGCAGGAAACCCAACCCTGAGAAGCCGTGCGCGGGGCGTACCTGAGGGGAAACCCAGAGCACCCTGAATGTAGCAGCTCCTTCAACGGCTGCGGGAAGTCACCGCGCAGCGCGAGGAGCGAAGAAGCTCGGGATACCCCGACAAAAAGCAGATGGCTTCTTGAGGCGGGCCCCCACTGTATGTCGTTGCTTGTTCCCCTAGCGAGGACGGCCGTTGGGTCCTCGGGGGGTCGGGCAGGACGAGGGGAGGTGGAGGAGGAGGAGGAGGAGGAGAGGCGGAGGAGAGGGGAGGAGGAGGAGGAGGAGGAGGAGGCGGAGGAGGAGGAGGAGGAAGGAGGAGGAGGAGGAGGGGGAGGGGCAGGACGAGGAGGAGCCGGGGCAGAGCGAGCGGCCGGAGACGAGCCTTCGCGCGCCCGCACGGGGGGGGGGCCCGGCGGCCACCCGCTCCAGACTCGCGGGCGGGCGCTCAGGCCGCGGAGGCAGGCAAGGGGCGAAAGAAGCGAGTGTATATGCTGCTGGGGCTTTGGACGCCCGAAATGGGTACCGACAAAAATTGGCACAATGCCCAACAACAAATGTTGTCCCAAACCAACAGCGGCCGCTGTTGGGCAGGCGGCCTTCTGTCTCGGATAGACACAGGCCGCGGCGGCGTGGACAGCGAATCCTGTTCAAAATGAACAGGAACTGCTGTTGGGCATCGTACACATTCTTTCAGTGCCCATTTCGGGCGTCCAGAGGGACGCGCTCAGCTCCCGAACCGGAGGAGGTGAGCGAGTGGAGGAGTGGTCCCGGCAAGCATCAGGAAGCAGACAGTGGCAGGAACAGAACAACTCGGAGGTCTGCGCGGATCCCTTGGATCGGCGCGGGGCCCTCCTGGCGGCGCATCGGGCGCCGCCACTGGCGTGCTCCGCGCGCCAGGGAGGGGGGTCGGGCGCCGATCCGAGAAATCCGCGCGGACCTCAGAGTTTTTTTTTCATGTCAGTGTTTGTCCCCCTACCCACAACCGCTCTCCATCAAGCCTGTACCCTACATCGGTCACCTGACTTGGCGCACCCTGCCCCGCGATGCGCGACTGTCGTCGCGCCCGCGCGCCGACACCGTGAAGAAGTGCGCCCGCCCTGGCCCAAAGCGCGACGCGCGGAACGCGATTGTGGCCGCGCCTCCGCGGGTGACCTGCTGCTGGTATCCTCGGGGACCTACTGACCCGGGTCAATCCAAACCCGTGTCAATCACGCTGTGCAGGATCCTGCCAGACCCTGCAGGACCCCGCGCCCAAGCCTGGGTCAATGCAACCCTGGCTCCGCGGGATCCTGCAGGGTCCGGCGCTCTGACCGACCCCCGCCTGCATCGACCCCCGTCTCGTAAGCCCCGACCTCCCCCGATGCACCCCCTGCTGGCCTCGAAGCTGTGCACCAGGCCCCGCAGCTGCTCCGTGAGCTGGTTCCTTAGCACACGCGGCAACGCACGGTGGGCGGTCGGGGCCACGGAATGCAGGCACGGCCAAGGCAATCTGGACGCAGGAGCTGCCTGGTAAGAGTGGGCTGGCGGCAAGCAAGCGGCAGCAATTCGGGGGGGGGTACAGCGAGGAGGCAGGCAGGCAGACAGGCGGCGCTGGTCCACAGGTGGTGGTAACAGAAACTGTTGCCTGAGTCTTGAAGGCACGCAGACCTGCTGCTTCTTCCTTTTTGTAGTATCAAGAGTATTCGTAATCGTATTACTATTATTATAACAACTATTAGTAATACTATTATTTCTTCTTCAACAGCAACAACAACAGGCGGAGGGAGAGGAGGAGGCGGCGGAGGAGGAGGAGCAGCAGAAAGGAAGCCAACCGCCCTTGGCGATCCGTGCAAATCGTGGCAGCATGCGCCCCGGGCTCGTTCGACAGCTCTGCCGACTCCCTGCGAAGAGGCATTGCTCCCGCCGCGCTCGACGTTGACGCGCAGTTCCGCTGGCTCCTCGCCGACGCCGACGGAGTCCTGGGCGGCATGGTTGGGGCGCCTTTCTTGCGCTTCGCCTTCAAATCCTCCTTGACGGCCTGTTCGCTGCTCCTTCTTGACCGTCTTATCCGATTTCTCCATGGCCTCCCTCGGCCCTCCCGTTGCCCCTCCTGTTTGCCCGCGGCCTGAGGCAGAGTCGCCCGAGCAGCATCGGTGCGGCCGTGGCGGCAGCAGCCAACGACAACCCGCGACAGCCAGCAGCTTCACGACGCCGCAGAAAATCCACCTGGACAAATGAGCCAAAGCGGACGGCGCCCAGGCGAGCGTCACGCCGCCGAGCCCACGAAGGCGGAGCGGGCGCCCAGGCACGATGCGTGAGGCCAAACTTTCTGTTCGTGCTCACGGGCCGCTCTGCTTTAAACGTTTTGTCTTGAGCGGGTTCCCCGGCACCCGTGCGTGGCAGTGCTCCACGGTGCAGGCGCAAGGCAAGGTCCAACATGAAGGCTTCCGGGTCGCGGAACGCAAGGGTACTGGACGATTTCTGCCGCGTTCGGGCCCCTGGGGCCTCCCAGCGGCCCTGGGGCCGTCAGAAAACGACTGAGGAGGAGCGGGGCCCCTGGGCCTGTAAGCTCATAGCCCTTTTCCCTCAATTCTTCTTTGCATGGCGACATGCGTGTGAACGGGACGGACCTCCGACGCCGCACAGGGGACACGACGCAGCGGAGTGCTGGCCGCGTCGCTCGTCGAGCTAGTCTTCGGCGTGCTCCCCACGGCAAGCGCCGCCCGCAACGCCGCGAACCTCCGACCGAGGCGACGAGCGGCGCGTGGCGCCGGCTGGCGGCCCCCGCGACCGCGTTCAGCCGAGCATGCCAAAGAGGGCCTCGGGGAGGCGGCGCGCTCCAAGGACAGACCGTTCCCGAAGCACCGCCTGGGACTCGCGTGTCGTCGGGGCACGGGCCGAATTCAGGCAGCGTGGGGGGCGGCCGAGAGGGAGGCGTCCAAGAGGGGGGGGCGCAAATCATTGCAGGCGGCACGTGCGCGGCCCAGCAGTGGGGGGGGCGTATTGAAGTAAGAAGAGGCGCCATGAAATCTGGGGAGACATCATGGCCCCCGCCATCATACCCCCCCCCGAGTCATCACCCCCCTCTCGGCCGCCCTCGACAGTAGTCGTACCAGCGCAAGCCGCCCAGGAATCCCAGCCCATGCGCAGCGGAATCCGTGGGCACCGGGCTGAACGGCAGGACGGAGCACGAGAGCAGGCCGAAGCGAATGCGCAACGCCCGAGCAAGAACGAGCGCGACAACAACTGACCCGGGACGGTTGGGGGCCGCTCCTCCTCCTCCTCCTCCTCCTCCCGCTGCTGCGCTCGCACCAAGAGAGGCGATCCTCGTGGCGTCTCCACGGCCCGCGTCGCGCAGGCCGCACATGCAGTCGTGACGGGGTCGACCTGGTCCTCCTCCTCCTCCTCCTCCTCCTCCTCCTCCTCCTCCTCCTCCTCCTCCTCCTCCTCCCTCATCCTCCTCCTCCTCCTCCTCCTCCTCCCTCATCCGGCGCGGCCACGCCGACCCTCTCCGTGACGAGCACCTTCCGCGACGACCCCCTTGACATCGAGAGGGTCGCCTCCAGCCGCCTGCCCGCGTGGTTGGAGCGCGGCGAGAGGGATCGTCTCGGCAGGGGGTCGCTCTGTTCCGGGTCGGTTGGGCCGCCCATGCTCTCGACGACGGACGCCGCCACCTGCAGCTGCGAGGCGACAGAGCTTCGAGGGTAAAAAATCCACCCCGATAATAACCACCCCGACACGCGAAGCCGTTTAGTAAAGGCACCCAAAGAAGGAATCAAACAGGGCAGGGCTCTTTAGTAAACGCCCATGGCCGTTTAGTAAACGCAAATTGTCTGGTCTGGGTGTTTTTTCCTCCCTTGAGAGCTGGCAGCGTGGATGACGCACTGGTAAGAATAGGAGGACGGAGGGAGCAGCGCACGAGACGAGTTCGTCCACATCGACGGTCACGCCGAGGTGGGTGCACGGGGCGGCGCCGGGGAATGGGTGGGCCCACCTGTTGCAAGCATGCCGAGGTCACGGCACTTGTTGGACGGAGGCGGCAGTGGGGTCGCGGGAGAAGCGGACGCGGGCAACACGACCGACGATCGCGGTCGAGGGGAAGCGCGGCTTGAGAGCGGGACGGACGGTGGGGAGGGCGACGGGACAGACACGACGGAGGGGAACGAGGGAGGAGCGCGGGGGCGAACGAAGAGAAATCATCCCGAGCCCGAAGTGGGAGGGCGGAGAGGATCGGCCACACGCGAGGGCGACCCTGGGAAAGCAAGCCCTCTGGTCCGCGCGGCCTGGCGATCGCTGCACGCGGTGCGACGGAGGCGGCCTGCGTGATTGGGCCTTGGAGGAGGCGGAGGAGGAGGAGGAGGAGGAGGGAGGAGGGAGGAGGGAGGAGGGAGGAGGGAGGAGGGAGGGAGGAAGGAGGGAGGAGGGAGGAGGAGATGAGGAGGAGGGGAGGAGGGGAGGAGGGAGGAGGAGGAGGAGGAGGAGGAGGCGGAGGAGGAGGGAGGAGGAGAGAGGAGAGGAGGAGGAGGAGGCAGGAGGAGGAGGAGGAGGAGGGAGGGAGGAGGAGGAGGGAGGAGGAGGAGGAGGAGGAGGAGGAGGAGGAGGAGGAGGAGGAGGAGGAGGAGGAGGAGGAGGAGGGAGGAGAAGGCCGAGGAGGAGGCTGGCCCCGAAGCGCACTCCGAAAGCCGCGCACCAGGGGTCACTCCTGCGAAGGGTCACTCTTACAGTGGAGGCCAGCCCACAAAGAAACCTTCCACGAGAAGCCCACCCCTGAGACCCCAGGACGTCCATTGACTTTTGGCGTGGGAGCGTCGCGCTTTCCATCGCAGAACCATCGATACGCAAGAAACCCAGGTCACCCTTGACGCAAGCAGGGTGTCTCTTGGCATGGGCCTCCACTGTACGTGCAGCCGAGAGGAGATCGCTTGCCCCATCGGGGCAAGGCCAGGGCCCACGCATCGTCTCGCGGAGATCGCCGCGCCCCGCAGGCACCCCCTCGGCGTGCTCGGGGGTGTGCACGGGCGGACGCTCCTCGGCCGGAGGAAGCGTTGTCGTCGTCACTCTCCGCCTCGTCGCCTTGTCGTCGTCCTCGTGGTCCTCGTCGTCGTCCTCGTCGTTGTCGTCCTCGTTGTCCGCGTCGTCGTCGTCGCTCGTCATCGCTCGTCGTCGTCGCCGCGTCGAGGTCGTGGCTCGTAGGCGTCTCAGCTCGTCGTCGTCGCTCGTTGCTCGTTACTCGTCGTCGTTGTCGCCACAGAAAGGGAGGGAGGAGGATGTTGCCCCAATGCGGTCGGGCACTCGCCCGACCCACGGCAGGATGGGCGGAGGGAGGAGTGAGGTGTGAGGGAGAGCAGCAAGCATCAGGAAGCGTCGTCGAAGGCGTAACGGCCGAGACTGCGAGAGGGGTGAGAGGAAGGAAAGGGGTCCGTCATCCTTCTTCTCCTCCTCCCCATCCTCTCCTCCTCCGCCTCCCCTGCCTCCTCCTCCTCACCCTCCTCCTCCCCTCTCCCCCCCTCCTGCTCATCCGCTGTTCCTCATCCCCCTCCTTCTCCTCATGTGCATTTCCATCCGGCTCCTCCTCCTCCTGGCCTCCTCCTCCTCCTCCTCCTCCTCCTCCTCCTCCTCCTCCTCCTCCTCCTCATCATCTTCCAGCTCCTTCTCCTCCCCCTCCCCCTCCTCCTCCTTCTCCTCTCCTCCCCCTCCTCCTCCTCTCCTCCTCCTCCTCCTCCTCCTCCGCCTGCCTCCTCCTCCTCTCTCCTCCTCCCTCCTCTTCTCCTCCTTCTCCTCCGTTCCTTCTCCTTGTCGTCCTCCCCCCCCCTGCCCCTCCTGCTTATCCGCAGTTCTTCCTCCTCCTCTCCCCTCCTCCTCCTCCTCCTCCCTCCTTCCTCCTCCTCCTCCTCCTCCCTACTCCTCCTCCTGGATCATCATCATCATCATCATCATCAGCATCATCTAATCATCACATCATCACATCATCACATCCTCATCATCATCATCATCATCATCATCATCATCATCATCATCATCATCATCATCATCATGGTCATCATCATCATCATCATCATCATCATCCTCATCATCAGCATCATCATGGTCAGCATCATCACCACCATCATCATCACCACCAGCATCATCATCATCATCATCATCATCATCATCAACATCAGCAGCAGCCTCATCATCATCATCATCGTCATCATCATCATCATCATCATCATCATCATCATCATCATCATCAGCATCATCGTCATCATCATCATCATCAGCATCATCATCATCCTCATCCCTCTCCTCTCCCTGTTCCTCCCTCACTTGATCCGCGGACCTGGCGCCAGACCCGTGTTAGGTCTGGTGTCAACTCGGGCCATGCGTGTCGGCCAGAGGTCCCAAGCCCCCCAGGTTCGTCTCCCTCTGCTCCTCCCTCCTCTTTCTCACCCCCGTTCGACAGCCAGTTAGGGCAGAAAAGCTTTAAAACAAACCAATCTCCAGCACAAACTTGTCGTGAGCGAGACATACAGTTCACGTGGGAGACAAGGGGCACAGCGGCAGGCATCCACACCGCCGTGGAGGCGTGGCCGCCCTCGAGGCACGGGTCGACTGAGGACCACCCTCAAATACCCCACAGACAGCAGCACGACGCAGGAGCGCCAGAGGCGAACCATCCAACACCTGACGACAGCGAGGACGACCACGGCGGCGGCGGCGGCGACGATTACCCGCGGCGGCGACCGAGGTGGCGGCGGCGACGACAGCCGCGGCGGCGACGGCAGCGACCGCGCCGACGACCGCGGCGGCGGCGTCGACGTCGACGTCGCGTGCCCCTGGCTGGCTCGGCGGCGCTCCTCTGCCTCGGCCCCAACCGCCGCGGCAGCAGCCGCGTCGGCCGCGGCTGCCTGCGCTGGCCGCCGAGGCGGCAAAATGGTCCTCGTCGTCGTCGTCGTCGACGACGACGTCCTCGTCATCGTCGTCCTCTTCCTACTCCGCCTGCCTCCTGGGTGCTCCCCCTCCGTCCTCCTCCTCCCCCTCCCCCTCCAGCTGAGCACGAATCCATGTCCATACCACTGTCCCCGCAACCACCTCTTCTTCCTCCTCCTCCTCCTCCACCTCGTCCTCCTCCTCGTCCTCCTCGTCCTCCTCTCCCAGTCTTCTTCCTCCTCCTCCTCCTCCTCCTCCTCCTCCTCCTCCTCCTCTTCCTCCTCCTCCTCCTCTGCCTCATGTGTCCTCCTCTCTTCGTCGTCATCCTAGTCCTCCTCCTCCTCCTCCTCCTCCTCCTCCTCCTCCTCTTCCTCCTCCTCCTCGTCTTCTTCCTCCTCCGCAGCATAATTTCGGCCCAGGCGATCGCACGGCCGCGCTTCCCTCCTTCTCCTTGCGGGTCCGAGTGATGGCGCTGCCTGCGAGGGACGCGCGCGCGGCGCAAGTGGACCTGGCGGCCCCTTGCGGCTGCCGCGGTGCGGGGAGCCGTGGACGGAGGTGCGCCGCGCCACACCGCGGCCGCCGTGGCACGCGCCGCCGTGTCAGCCGCCGCCTTCGCGACGCAGCCGAGGCCGCGGGAGCCTGCAGCCACAGCCGGCGGGGTGCGCCCTGGGGTGCCTGCCGGCGCTTTTCATCTTGCTTCCTCGGAGGCGCTGCGCGAGCGGCGGCGCAGGCGCCGTCAGCGACGCGCGGGGCTGCGAGCACCGGAGCGAGGGGAAGCTGCGGCGTCGGCGGAAGCAGTGGTGGCGGCGGTCCCGCCGCCTGCTGCGCCCCCAGCGGTCGCGGGCGGCCCCCAGATCGACGTCGACGGCGACGACGACGTCGAGTTCGGCGACGCCTGGGCTGACGAAGCCGCGCCGAAGAGGCGCGAGCCGCGTCGTGCTAGGGCGCGTGTCGTCGCAGGAGGCCCTACCAGTGCAGGCGGCGTGCCGCCTGTCGGGCTGGACGTGGTGATGCGGCGGCGGCGGCGGAGCTGGCTCGAGGAACTGGCGGAGCGGTGCAGCTGCCGAGGTGAGCGCCCACCCGAGGCGCAACGAGCTGGAGCGCCTCAAAGGCGCCTCCGGCGACGTCGGGCGCAGCTGGAGGGCCCGACTCGCTCGAGCGCCCGCGTCGGCCAAGGCGCGGGGGGGGTAGTAGCCAGGGGGGGCAGTGGGGGCCTGGACGTTCCGCGGCAGACCGCCGCCCACCCCCTCCCACCAAAAATGGTCCTGGTGGGCCGGAGCTTCAAGTGAATCCATCGACCTGTTCGTCGCGGTCCAGGCCCCCCGCGGAGGGCAGCGACAAAACTGCTGCCCCTCCGATCGTCCACATCATCCTCGTCTTCCTCCTTGAATCATATTGTTTTTGCTGCTTCTATGCATCCTGGTCCTCGTCGCTGCCTCCCACCGTCCTTCCGGTGCCCTCCTCCTTCGCGCAGGGCAGCAAAGAGTAAAAGAGAGAGGGCG